GGTGATGGCGACGGCAGCAGGAGCATTAACATTAGCATTAGTGGTGCATAGCCGAGGTGCGAGTTCAATAGGCTCAGCAATAGCAGCAGCCGAAACATCGTCATAACCTTGACCGGTGATAATGGCCACTGTGCACTGCAGTGTGTGGCCAGTGCCCACTGTGCTTCGGTGGTCATGAGGTGCTCTCTCTCTCTCTCTCTTAAACTCGCATTCATCCGAGTCATCATTTATAACGGCAGATAGTGCTTCACCGAGTGTTTCACTCGGACTCGTTCCAGCCCTGCTGCTGATGCTGCTGCCGCCGTCAAACGAGTTTGTCCCAATCTCCTCGAATCTCCTTCTCACTTCCAAGTTAGACTAGAAGTTCGGCAGACGATCTGCATGCATGCCCGTTCGCCGTTTGCCTGGCCAAACACCGATAGCAGCAGCAACATCAGCAGCATCGTTTGTTGTCGTCGTTCACCACCACCACTACTGTTGATGCTGTTCCACTTACTTTCTATCCACTGCTGAGATGTTGTCGTCCTGTCGTCCCTGACCGATAGCTGTCAATCGAATAGAGCTGCTGCTGCATACTTCACTTCACGCCTGCTCTACTTTATATTAATACGCAAATAGAGATGTAGCAGCAGCTTTATGATTTTTTGTGGTAGTGGAAGAAGTAGAAGAAGAAGAAGTAGTGCTCATACCGGTGCAGCAGTGACTAGACAGCAAAAGACTAGAAAGAAGCATCGATGCAGAGGAGAGAGAGAGTTTGTGATGATTGTTCTATCAAAAACTGTGAACTACCAACTTCCTTCCTTAGTTCATTTTCTTAGGGGACAGAATGGCCAAAACTCATTTGGTACTTCTGTATGAGGCTACGCAGATTGAGGTTGGGTGTGAGCTGGTGGTCGTGCAGCAGATCGTTGGTCATCGGACTGGTGCAGTTCCCCTCAAAAATCCACTTGGTGATGGCCGCCCGCTCGTAGGTGCTCCCGTCCGCCGCCACCACTGGGTCAGTCATGAGGTCCTGCGTAATTGGACAGCAGAACTCCGCCGGCCGCCGACAGCTATTCAGCTCGTCCTCCGCTAGCTGCTGCCACAGCGGGTTCTTNTGGGTCAGTCATGAGGTCCTGCGTAATTGGACAGCAGAACTCCGCCGGCCGCCGACAGCTATTCAGCTCGTCCTCCGCTAGCTGCTGCCACAGCGGGTTCTTCAGCGTCATGATCGCCCGCAGGATCTTGTTCCGGTCTCCCAGCGGCTCTATAATAGTGAAAATAGAGAAAAAGAGAAAGAAAATGCTCCCTGTCAACAAATGATAAAGAGGAGCGCCGAGCGAGCGCCGAGCAAACCGCGGCAAACCTATTCGGAGGTTCATCAGCAGCGAGTCGTGCGTCAGGTGGAGCAGCTCGAGACCATCGAGGTGATGGTCTCGGAAGGTGGCCGCGTACCGGGCCAGCGCTGGGCCCAGACTGGCCACCCACTCGCCCACCTCCGCCTCCGTCCACTCGCCCACGTACTTGTCCGAACTGAAGGCTTCCTTGCTGCCATTTCCGCTTCCGTTGACCTCCGCTTCAGTGGCCCCCTTCTTCGTGTCAATGCTGATGCTCTCCTTGCCTTCAAGGCTGTCAATGTTCCAGATGATCACCGTCTGGTCGCAGCTGCCCGTCGCCAGAAGTTGATTGTCGTCGGAGAAGGCGCAGCTTGTGACGTACCGCTTGTGGCCCTCCAGGCGGTGCACCAGCGTGCCGATGCGAGCGTCCCACACGATGACCACCTTGTCGCCGCCGCTGTGCAAAATAATAGGTTTTATAAAAAAGTTCTAAAAAACTGCACTTCCCACTTACGCCGAGGCGAGCAGATTGCCGTCCATGCTGAACTTGACGCAGTTGACATTGCCCGTGTGGCCGACCAGTTTGTGTGAGAGGGTGATAGTGCAGCTGACCCCGGCCCGGACGTGCCACAGCTTCACCAGGTCGTCATTGCCGCAGGTGGCCAGCAGGTAGAAGGCCTGCAGTGGCCCCTCCGCTACGTTCACCTCGTACTGCGAGCTAAAGTCCGCCCCGAGGACGCCCAGGTCGTGGGCCGCCTCATGCGTCAGCACGTAGTTGACATTGCCCTGCTTCACATTCCACAGCTTCATGTCGCCATTGCTGGAGGCGGAGACGAGGTAGGCGCTGTCCGGGGTGAAGGCCGCTCCGGTGATCTTGGCCTCGTGGTCGGCCGAGGCCTTAATCTGCCGACGGGTGCTGATGTCCCAGACGACCAGCGTCTCATCATCGGAGCCGGAGGCGAGCAACGCCGAAGAGGGCGAGAAGCAGACAATGCGAATGGCGCTGCCCGACTCATGTGCCAGTTTCACCACCTGCTCTCCAGTCTGNTCATCATCGGAGCCGGAGGCGAGCAACGCCGAAGAGGGCGAGAAGCAGACGATGCGAATGGCGCTGCCCGACTCATGTGCCAGCTTTACCACCTGCTCTCCGGTCTGTTTTTTTGGATTCTTATTTAGAACCGTAGAAAATTGGTATTTTTTTTGCTCGCTTACCTGACTGTTCCAGAGGATGATGTTGCCGTCGGTGGAGCCGGAGGCGATGATCGTCCCGAATGGGCTGTAGCGGACGCAGTTGACGCCGTACGCGTGGCCCTTGAGCGGCGAGATGGTCTGCTGACGGAAGAAACGCTCCTCATTCTCCGCCTCCCAGAGCATCACCGTTCGGTCGTTGCTGCAGCTGACCAGCTTTCGCTGCCCGTTAAAGTCCACCCAGTTGACGTCTGACTTGTGGCCGTCGAGCACCTGGAAGAGCGGCGGACTGGAGTCCATTTCGATTTACTTTGCGTAAGTTCTTCTCCTAATGGTGAAACTTTTGTGTGTCTGTTTTGGTTTTGGTTTGTGATTCAGTGAGTGTGTGTGTGTTCAAGTACTAAAGTTTTGACGAGTGGGTCGACTGCCGGCAAAGTAGAAAAAGCGGAGAGACATGAGCGCGACGGTGGTTGTTGTTGAAGAGAACTTTCAAAACAGCATTAACTGAAAAACAACAGCAAAAAATTGAAGAATGAGCTGAAACAGAAATGGTTGTTGTTAAACGATTGCTGAACGTCGTCAAACCACCACCACCGATGACAATCTTCTGACACTGAAGAATCGATCCTCAATATTTAGTGTGTGCCCCACCAGTCAGTCATTTCAGTTGGTTGGTTGACTCCATCAAACCTAGGTGTTGCTGTGTTTGCACACATTTCGACTACTTTGTGGTGAGGCCGAAACTTCGCCAGCATTGGGCTTCATTTTTAACCGTTATCGACCGGCGCAATATTAGAGAGTGAGGCAGTGAAAACTGTAAACGAGTCAGACCATGGAGGCCACCAAAACACAGACTGCAGACGCTAATTGGCTGCACGACGGCGACGACGCTGGCCGTCTCCAAGGCACCAGAATCTTAGAGGAAAAGAAAGAACAGGAACTAGCCTGACTTCAATTTCGGGCACACCGAAAAGGTACATTGTACAAAAGGTAACGGGGAAGGGAAGAAAAAATAGCCACCACCACTGCTTGTCAAATAATTAAATCATTGCAGGGGGTGAAAAGGCAACAGCGGAAGAAAAGGAAGAAGAAATTCAATAACAACCAGTCACCTCCAAACCATCAATCAGTGGTGGGGAACACGGTAGTACACACAGACAGGTGCACCGAGGTGCTACTGATGAAAATTCGATTCAATTCCGCTCAACAGCTGTGTACAAGCTGAACAAACTGAACTGTGTGTGTGTGCTTGGGGTGATTTGGGAAACAATCAAACTAATCAATACCACAATTCCTATTCAAGACAAGTCTTCTTTTGGTAGTGGTATCCACCACCGCCGACAGTGGCCACCACCAGTACACCACCTTAATTAGTTAGTTGGAAGCTCATCTGCTTAATTAAGTTTTTATGGTGTCTGCTTCTTTATGGCCGTTCTTTACACAGTAGCTCGCTATCTCCCAAACAATCACCTGTACCTTTTGCGATAGGAAAGTGGTACTGTCGTACGGTCGTACCGTACTGTGACGCAGCCCCTTCAGCAGCTGCTGACTCTGCAGACAATGTTTCCCCAGTAGAAAAAAAGTTGATGCACGTCCTCTTCGAGCAGTTTGGGTATTGCGAGGCGAAAAAGGATTGCCTCATCGCTGGGAGGACCGCTACTTACGCTAACTGCGTGTTGAAAATGCTCTGTGGAAGGTGCACAGAACTCCTCCCCATTTGCAGTGAAGCTTGTTCTGCATCTTCAGCTGAACTGAGTAAAATGAAACTCTCTCCTCTCTTGGCAGTGCTTTTCTCTGTTCTTTGCTCTGTCTCTCTGTGTTGGCCATCTACAGACGCATATTTGTGTGGCTGTTGTCCTCTGTTCTCTCTTCTAAACTTACGTTTTGTTTCTATTCTTTGAAAGTTGACAAGTTTCGTATCCTCTCGTACCCTTCCATTTCACTGGACTGCCACATCCACCTCTTCCACCAGGTCTTCCAACCATTTACCAATGGATTCGACACGGAATGATCGTGAATCTCAATCCTTGTCCGCAAACGAGGCTCCGCCGCTCTTTCTTCGCCGCAGGTAGGACAGTTCTTTTTGGCTAGGCTAACCTTTGTTCTCATCTTTTTCCTTCTTTCTTGCTGCTTTAGTCGAAGACTAAACCGTACTGGCGCTGCTTCCGATGATGTTCCCTATTCATCTGGATCCTCACAGCCTCGAGCAGCTGCAGCAGCAGCAGCAACTGCCACAATGGCAGCAACCACAACATCAGCAACGTCCACCACTCGCCCAGTACCTCGTCACCACTCTACGTGGATTTCGCAAAACAGACAGATAGAACGTCAACGTTCTTTCTATCATAATTACTATTCAAAGTAACTTTGCTCATGTTTTATTGCTTCAGCTTATCATAACCATTGTTGTTTTAACCATTCAGCAGTCGCAACCGAAGTGCTACGCAAACAAACGGTGATTCTCAGTCAGTTTCCCCGCCCAGTATCCCTACAATACCTCAGCAAAGGCAAAGATCAGGATCTCTGGGGGCTGCAGAAAGCAGACCCCCTGCAGGCGAATCATTTTCAGCTCGAATTTCACAATTGGCTGGTACTGTTAGCGAAGAAAGCATCAGAAGTACGTCACCTTTATCGTCAATGTTAGATTTAACTGAACTTGGAGAGGCTGAACCGGTCTTTAACAGCGCTAGCACCCAAACATCTACATTTCCAAGACCTACGAATCGTCGACCACCTTCTCCTGATGAATTTTTGTCTCGCCCCTACGAGTTTGTCAGCCCTACACCAACTCCAATTTCAAATCCGACCAGACATGTTCGAGCGTTGCCTCTGGTAGCTCGGGTTCCTAATACTAACTTCTATGAATATCTTCAACACTTCGGTGCTCTACTTACCCGTTCAAATACTCCGGCAATATATGTTTCCGATCTTTCGGGACGTGGAAATGCGGACAGAGATGATAATGAGCCGATTGATGTTGTGGACCATTTAAACTTTGAGGCTATCTTCGGACTGGATGGAAACTTCTTCAGTAATGGCCTAAGCAAGCAGGACATTAATCGCCACACGATCTCTTATGAATACAAGGCTTCAGCTCCTTTGAAGCGAAAGCGAATGAAGACGGAAGACGGTGAGGCTGCTGCCCCCTCTGCACAAACGTCGACTGCCACCGCCAATGACGGCTGCTCCATTTGCCTGGACAAGCTTAATCCTAATGTCACCGTTAGGTAAGTTTATCTTTTGTAGCCTACCTTTTCAAAGTTTATATGATTGTTTTCATTTTTCTTCTGACCACACGTTTAGACGTCTTCCCTGTTTGCACATCTTTCACATTAAGTGCATCGACAAGTGGCTGAAGCAAAACAAAAAGTGTCCTATCTGTCGTATTGCCATCACCATTAACTACGACACGCTGATAAGCTCACTGGAGTCGGGCAGCAGCATCGACCAGTGTCTCAGTCAGCAGGAGTCATCTTCGCGACCTCTCTTTCGGCCAACTATCACCCTCCAGGTGGCCAGCAATGGAGGACTGGCTGCACTATCTAGCTACTTCGCTAGTCCCTCTGCTGCTGCTTCGAGCTCTCGCAGTGGTGCCAGTGGCAGCAGCAGCAACAATAACAACAACAACAACAACTAAGCTGATCCTTGATCGTCTATCCTGCTTCGGACCTCATCTAATCGCAACAGAAACACTTTCCCAGTAAGGGACACTTTCAACAGTTTCGCTGATCAGTTTACTCTGTTTACCTTAGTGGTGATTTTTACACACAAATTCAAGTTTTTTCCTCAAACTCACAGCCCTTTATACTTTTGTTGTGAACTTTCAGCGCCAAGCAAGCAAGTTTGCTATCTGGTCAAGAAACTTCATTTATACAAGTAACATTTACATTTAAGCTGAACATTTTACTTGTGCCTCTTCTACATTCTCTACAACACTTTTTTTCCTTCAAATAATTTAACTCTGCAAGACATCCACATCATCATCCTGACGAGTTCACCCTTCAGATGACATCTCTCTGTTTTACCTGTTTTTAAAAGCTTGCAATAGTACTAATTTCAAGCAATCTATTGGTAAGTAGCACGCCCCCTAAACGCACCAGTTCTTTTGTAGCAGTGTCCCAAAGGGTGGCCTCTGCTACACCAGGTGCTTGACCACTGATCTCTCACAAATGAGCTGAAGGCCATGATGTGCTGTCTTGGTCAAGTCATTTTAAAGATCACAATTATTTCTCATAGTCTCAGTACACACAAACATGAATTTTCTTTTCCCTCTTTCTCTATAGTTATACACACACATCTCAGTTTCTGAACCAAATACCCAAACCCTGTAAATCTGCTTCTTTTTAATTATTGTTCACAGTGTGTTGTAAAGATGCGCTCACCAGTTTGTGCTGCGTCTCCAGTACTTTACCCCCTTGATGTACATAAGCACACTCACACACACTCCCTTCACACCGCTTTTATCCACGCCATATCCTTTTCATTTTAAAAACTCTACATGAATTATCTCCACTTCACTCCACTGTTTTTAAGGCTGGTCAGGATACTACTCACCCAAGCCAAGCCAACCCAAAGTTTGGGTCCCAAACACGCGGTCATACACACTCACACACCACATTTCCCACTGGCTATTTTTAATAAAATTGATGTTCAACACTGTTGCCGTCAACGCTCTTTTTTTCTTCAGTGATGACGATTCGGTATTGGGATGAAGCACAGCTGTAGTAGTTGCGGGGCAATACGACAACGGCCACCAGTGGCATTCTCCGCCGGTCCAGATGACGGCAAGAGGCAGGCAGTGCAATTAATCACAATTTGCAATGTGCTAATGCTCTTTGCCTTCTCTATCTCTCATTCTGTTGTGACTGTTTTTGCGGCACCAGAAGAAGAAGAAGAAATAGTAGTCAGCTTGCTGGCCAAAAATAGAGCCACAACACAGAGAGAGAGAGTCCTACCACCACCACCGAATCCACTTTCGGTAATTCCCTGGTGCTGCTGCTTCATCACTGCTTCAGCCGCTGCACCATTTGTNAGAAATAGTAGTCAGCTTGCTGGCCAAAAATAGAGCCACAACACAGAGAGAGAGAGAGTCCTACCACCACCACCGAATCCACTTTCGGTAATTCCCTGGTGCTGCTGCTTCATCACTGCTTCTTTTCTCCCCTTCTCTCCGACAGGCTTTCCTCGTTTCTTCAGCTTTGCGTGAATCTTCTTCGTGAATAAGTCATCATCATCATCTCTTGAGCGACATTTTTTTCCGAGTCAGTGCGGCCCAACAAGGCAGCGTCAAGAAGAGGAGG